ACAGAATTCTTTGGTTTTCATGCAACACACCTGCAGTTGTGTATAATATGAGCGTGCTGGAGACTGGAAAATTAGAAATGATAATGGTCTCAATAAACAGAGATTGAATGCTAATGAAGCATTAGGCATTGTGCTAATAATCACCCCTTGGGAGGCTGGTACTTTTTTTCCGATTTTGCAGATGAGGAACTTAAGGGGTAACTTGCCTTTGGTCACAAAGCTAAATTGCAGGGTTAAAGTCAGTTTGACTCCAACGGATGTGGTCTTAATCAACACACCAGGAAAAAAGAAAGGGGAGGAAAGGCAAAACAGGCATTTGTAATTTTAAAAATAAGAATATGACCATATTTTCTAGCTGGAATTTATTACTGTTGCTTCAAGATATGAACTGCATGACTTCCCCTACATCCTTTCTTTTAGTCTAATGATCTAGCAGGTAACTGAAGCAGAAAAAAAACAAATAGAGGAGCAGGCGTGCATCAGGGCACATTCCGAGTCAGAGAAGATGGTGTGTGTGACGCCTCCTTGTTCAGGGGCTCTTCATTGGAAACAAATGGCGGTTGAAGGCTGAATTATTTCCCCATGCTCCTAGGTCTTTCAAAGTTAAAGTGAGGACCCCTTTTGAGTCCCTTCCTATAAATGCTTAACTGGCAGGCAGAGTAAATGAGAAGCCCACTGCTACCGAACCCATTCTGACTCACAGCGACCATATATAGGGTTTTCTAGACGGTAGCAGACCGCCTCACCTTTTCTCTTGTGGAGCTGCTGGGGAGTTTGAATCACTGACCTTGCAGTTAGCGGCCCAATGCCTAATCCACAGGGCCACTAGGCCTCCTTTTAGTTTCACTGTTGTTGTGAAGTCCCTTCCAGTCAGTTCCAACTCAGTGACCCTACATAGAGTTTCTGAGGAGCAACTGGTGAGTTTGAACCACCAACCTTGCAGTGAGCAATCCCATGCCTAATCCACAGGGCCACTAGACCTCCTTTAAGTCTCACTGTTGTTGTTAAGTGCCATTGAGTTGGTTCCAAGGAACAGCTGGTGAGTTTGAACCACCAACCTTGTGGTTAGCAGCCCAGTGCTTATCCTACAGCACCATACCAGGACTCCTTTATTCTCATTTTCTGTTGTTGCTATTAAGTGTGGTCAAGTTGGTTCCGACTCATAATGACACTGCATAGGGTTTCCGAAGAGTGGCTGGTGGGTTTGAACCTCCAACTTTGTGGTTAGCAGTCTAGTATCCATCCTATAATGCTATTGGATTCCTTTAGTTTCACTGTTGTTGCTAAGTGCTGTTGAGTTGGTTCCAACTCATAAAGACCC